GGTGGGGGCCGAGGGTGCGCCGCTGCCCGGCGCTGGCCGCCTCTCTTCAGCCGCTCCGGGCACCTCTCGCAGCTCGTCACCTCTGGGTAGGCAACGGGGCTCGGGGCGGGGGCGGCAGGGGGTTGCGGGCCCCGCACTCCCACTCCGACTTCAAGGGTGTTGTTGGACTGGGTTTGTTGTTGTTGGGGTGTGTGTGTTTTGCTGCGGGGTGGGTGGTAGACCTCGCCCGTGAGCAGTTCCGCTGTTCCCCTCAGGCCCCCGCTGAGGTGTCAAGAGCCGCGCAGGTTGGACCGGCACGAGGAGCCCCTCGGCACCCTGCTTCGGCCCTCCGGAGGGGGAGCGGCGCGGAGGGGCGGGGCGGGGTGTGTGTGTGTGTGTGTAAATGTTGCGCACTCGCTTTTCCCCCACCCCCGCCTTCTTCCAGGGTGCTGGCGTGGGTCCCTCGCCGTCCGGCGGCGACTGTAAATAGAGCCTGGATGTTGTTTACATGAAGGATCCGGCGGGAGGAGTCTGCGAGGAGGCGGCGGCGGCGGCGGAGGAGGAGGAGGAGGATGAGGGAGGGAGGAGAGAGGAAGACCGGAGTCCCCGCGGCGGCGGCGGCGGTCCGGGGTAAGGGCGAGCCCCGCGCGACGCTCTGGGACTCATCGCTACCACCAGGCCGGGACGCTGGACCCTGGGGTAGGAGGAAGAATGGGCGCAGGGAGGAAAGAAGGGGGTCTGTCAAAGTGACATTTTTAGCTTGTAACCTGCCACGCAGAATCTCCCGGGTTTTGAAGGGCGGGGGTGTGCTGGGAGGGCGGGGAAACCTCGATTTCTCTGCACGTTCTTTCTCCCATCCCCAATTTTTTCCCGCTTCTCTCCAGGCTCAACTGTTTATTTCCATCATTAAGAGCTTGCAGGTTTTTATTTTCAAATGTGGCCATGAAAGACTGCTTCTTTTATTAGAAACGTTATTGGGGTGGAGGGTGCCTTGCTGTAATTTATGCCGGGCTAGGATGGTTTACGAAAAGGGGGGAGGGGCCTTGGCTGCGACTGCCTACTCCTGGCCGGAGCTGACCCCAGGACTTCTCCCTGCCTTCCCGGGACAAGGAATCTTTTCCTTCACTCAAATACCGGCACGCCTGCTGCCACCTTCTTGGAGAAGGACCATACCTGTGTTTTTCCTGCTTTAAAGGGAGGTTAGCAGAGAAACCAGAGACGCCTCTGTTCTCTAGATTTCTTAGCTTACCCCATCCAAGACTCAGCCAAAAGTGCTTCTTTCACCTGCTGATTGCACAGCAGAGCACACATTCATCCTTCTCCTGTGCAAGTTGTGGTCTAAGGATAGGTTGGAATTTTCTCGTTCACCCCCAGACCTAGCTCACCAATCAAGCAGCTAGAGAGAAAGAGAGATGAACTCGCCTTTGCCCCAGTGTGATTTTTTTTTAGTTCTTCACTGGGTCTTCTTATGGAATCACCCACTCATCATCCCCTACAGCTCCCTTCTTTCTTTGCCTTACTTAACCTAGAATTAGAACCAAGCAGCTTTTCTATGACTTTTTCCCTAAGCCCCACCCTGGCCCCTCTTAGTTTTCCAGAGCCAAACAAGCTTCCCAAGCATAAGGCACACCCAGCCCCAGAACTAACCATTCCAAAAAGGAGGAGGAAACAGTGTAAAAAAAGAGACCTAAGGGTCCCCTTTCTGAGCTGAATCTCCCAAGCAGCATTTCCCTCTTCAAGCCTCTAGAATTATAATCCTTTCCCTGTTGCAAGCTGCCCTTCCCACCCTCTTGGCCACTATTCCTATGATAGCTATTTGGGGAAGTGAGAGTGAAGGATGGAGAGAAATTGTCTCCCCTCTTCCCTGGAGTGAGACATTTTCCTTCTCCCCAGTCTTTTCATTTTGACATGCATTAGAAGTAAACTCTGTAAATATGTTTGCAAGCTTATTTGACTTACTTTATTGCTGGCTAACAAATAACTGGAACTGAAGAGGGAGGCTGGGGAGATGATAAGTGAACATTCGTCCTAGTTGGCCCCCATATGAGCATTCCCAGAGGTGCTGGAGAAGACCCTTCTGTAAAATTTGCCGGTCGTCTCCCTTCCATGACATCACCACCTAAGCCCTTCCAACTTTAGCTTCAGAACAGGAAGAAGGCTGAAAATAGAACTACCTTAGGAATCCAGCTCCTTTAGAAGATCAACTTTTAAAATCAACCACAGTAGGAACACTGAACTTTGACATGGGAATAGAAAGCTGGAGCATTTTGTAATTGGTTCCTTTGGGGAAAGGGTAGGGGGAGACTTTACATGTATTTTCAGAAAAGCTTTTCTCAAATAACTTGGGTACCTAGACCAATGAATGATTAATAGGATATTTCAAGAGTCATTTATTGAATTATTCAGATGTTTCTGCATGTCAACGGTAACAAGCACTTTTCAATGAATTAAAGAGGGTCTCCTGGAATATGCACTAGAATTGGCTAGAGAATGTGAAGATTGTGGGGGAAGTTAGCAGGGAGCCTTGAGGAAGGCTAAGAACCTGAGAATACAGTAATAACAGCTGTGAGTATGGAAGATGAGAGGCTTATTAAAAACAATGACTGTAATGTCTAATGATGACTAATGTCCTGGGCAAGAAATAACGGGTCAAGATTTCCCACCTCAGAAATGAACTTTATATCTTTGAATTTCGGTGTCTCCATTCCCCCCCTGAATTGAATTGTGCCTGTCTCTCTGAACAAAAAAAGTTGTTTTGTTTTTGGGAAGGCTGCTTCATAAATGGTCATCCCTGGGATATTGACATCTAATTATTGCAGGTGTGACAGAAAATTATTGGCATACTTTGAGTACCTTTGAGGTGCTGTGGAGGACTTGCTGATTGATCAGGTAGCATGTCTTTTAATCCTGTACAGAATTAAAGAATTCAGTGACAGAATTGTCTGACCTACATTAACATGGTAGCCACTAGGCATTTGTGGTATTAAGCACCTGAAATCTGACTAGAGTGATAAAGAACTAAATTTAAAATTACTTAATTTTTAATGTTGCTGTTAGATTGGGCTATTGGAAAACTTAAATATTTGGAAACTGGGGCATATGGATCTACTTTTTAAACTGTAAATTTTATGAAATCTAAATATAGATTAAGTATTTCTGAGGAAAATTTAGTACTCAAATTGAAATCTGTTATCAGTGTAAAATATTTAAAACACAGTCTGGATTTCAAAGACAATACAAAAAAGGAAAGTAAAATATCACAAATTTTATATGGCTTCCATGTTCAAATGATAATATATTGAAATAAATGAAATATATGACTAATGTTAATTTCACCTGTCTATTTTGAAATGTTTCTAAAATGTGGCTACTATAATATTTTAAATAATATGTGGCTTGCAATTTACTCCTTTTGGACAGTGCTGGCCTATAACATGTTCCTTTGTGTCCATGGGTTAATTTCAAAAGAGTGATTGCATGGAATGCAGTTATTTCATGTTTGTCAACCATTTGTATGCCTTTGCTATTTTCCATGTGGATATTTGAGAATTCCAAGAGTTACTGTTATAGAATGTGAGACCTATTAGTGACTGTTGTATAGTTTCCCATACAGGGAGCATCCTCTGTTCAAGAATGGTCACTGCAAATGTACAGAATACTAGAGGGGTGTCACGGGAAAACTCAGGGAATCATCCACTTATCTATAGTTGCGTTTGTCTAAGGTTCCTAGGCATTCAGGGAACAGTGTATGGCACAATGATTGTTGTGACACCTAGTGGCATCTTGGTGGTCCCAATTAACTACTTACTGTCATTAATTTTCCTTCTCTCCTTTTACTTGCTGCACTGATAACATATTCTACTGGTGGTAATTGGACCCATAAGGTTGCTGACTTCTTTCCTCAAAAAAAAAAAAAAAGCGTAAGACTGAATAGGAATAGTGCTGTCTTTGGGATCTGGATGCAATAGCATCCCATCAGTGGCACTGAAAGCAACTTTAGGACCATTTAGTACCTCCCATTTTATAGATAACAAACTGTTAAGTACCTTGCCTAAGATCAAACAGGTAGAGGCTGCAATTGAACATGTACTTTAGTAATTCCTGAGAATTGAAGAGGCTTATCATTTAATTCAATATCCGCTGAAATTGTACTATGTAGAAAGGACCCTGCTTAGTGTTGTGAAGGGACATGCAAAAAACAGACTGTAACATTAGGGATGATACTGTTGATTGGAGGAAACAGTATGTAAACAGAGCCAAATTAAATCGGTATAAGGTAGTGCTCTGAATGAATGCAATGCCACTGTGGTGTATGCTACAAGTAGAAATTTGTTCACTTGACAGGTGTAGGACTAGAAACTGAGCATGGTGGACTCTACAGAAAAGAGGAATATAATTGTTTTTCTGGAACAGACCCAGGGTCTAGAATCAAGGATTAGTGCAAATCTTCAATACTGCTCCCTTTAGCTGTCCATTAGGAGAAATGAGGGCCCTCCCTGGAGCCACAGCAAGTTAAATCACAGCATTACCAAGCTGGCTGCAGCCTCTTCAGCATGAGTTCAGTCTTGCCTAGGGAGGTGACCTACATGGCGCAGTAGACCTCTCCTGTCTTGCCCGCTTCTCCCCTCACCAGTGTACTTTGTCCGTCTGGTTGTTCTGTTCCCCACTCTGTCTCTGGTGAATCCTCTCACCACCCTGGCACCTCGGGCCTGTACCCCAGTTCTGTATGCATACATAAATTTTAAAAAGAAAAGTGAGAACTTGAGAGTCTAAGGCTTGGCAGTTTTAAATGGCAGTGCTGTAGTTGAAAGGAAATAATAGATTAATAGGCGGCAATAAGGGTTTTAGAGATGGTTAGCTGTGGTGAGTCATTTTGAAGTCAGGTGGTATATTTTAACAGAATAAAATAGAGAAGTGAAATCAGAATATAACTGACTTGTGAGCAAATTATTATAAAATCTAAAATATGGGTGGGGGGAGGTACAATCTAGCGAAAAATCAGAAAAGAAAATAACTGCAGAGTAGTTGGGCTAGAAATAATGTAAATAATGTAAGCTGATTACTTGTGTAGGAAGGACATACCACATACTAGAATATCTTCTTAAAGAGTAAATAGGCCAATCCATTTGTTTGTAAATTTTTAGTATCCTGGAGGCTTTTGGACTAAAACCTCAGTTCAACATGAGTAAGTTCAGTGCTCTTTATGAGTGTCATTAGATGCATACCAACTCTGATAGACTCTTTCTTCTATAGACCTGCTAAAACTGCAACATGAGAATGTTCAGAAGACAGTGCTGAAAGTAGTAAAACACTGACATGCCCTCATTTACTCCCAGTTGATGCTATGGTGCCAGAATCAGGGCTGACTTTGCACTGGATTGTGGTCTTTGACTTTTCCTTGCCATTTTAGCCAATTCCTTTCTTCTTTAAAAAAAAAAAAAGTCTGTTACTCAGACTTCCTACTAATATTTGGCACAAGTTATCGAACAAAGAATATAACAAATCTTTGAAATAAAATAGAAATACAGCTTCTGTGTATTTCTGACAAAGCAGTAGTTGGCATTTGAGCATCTTTTATAGACAGTTCAATTTTTTTTAAAAGATTTATTTATTTATGCATGCAGAACTGGGGTACATGCCAGTGAGAGGATTCACCGGAAACAGTGGAGAGCAGTACACTGCTGAGGGGAGCAGTGGGTGGGTCAGGAAAGGTCTACCACGCCATGTGAGTCACCTCCCTGCCTGGGAATCAAACTCATGCTGCAGTGGCTTTAGCTTTGTTGGGCTGTGCTTTAACTTGCTGCACCACCAGGGAGGGTCCTCAACAGTTCAATTTTTGTAACATTGCAGTTTGGTCCAGTTTGTATGTTTTGCAATGTCAAATTGAGTTGAAGTACGGTTTTCAAGTTGAAAAAAAAAAAAACACCCTAGTTTAGTAAAAGACTGACAGATTTAAATTAAAAAGCCTGTTTGAAATATTTTAATTTTTTTAAAGATTTACTTATACAGAACTGGGGTACAGGCCAGAGATGTGGGAGGTGAAAGGATTCACCAGAGACAGAGTGGGGAGAAGAACACGGAGATGTACTGAAATACACTGCTGAGGGGTGCATCAGGCAGGTCAGGAGAGGTCTGCTGTGCCATGTGAGTCACCTCCCTGGCCCAGGATTGAATTTGTGCTTCAATGGCTGAGATAACTTCACAGTGCTGCACTAAAACCCCTTGAGCCACCAGGGAAGGCCTGAAATATTTTAGTTTTAAAATATTTTCAAATGTTTTATATTGCTAGCAACTTTCTTTACAATACCTGCAATTGTTCAATATGTAAACAGCTACTTAAAGAATTCTTAAAGGTTCAGAATCATCATGTTTACATTTTCAAGCCATACATAAGAGCTACATAATATAGTTTTGGTTCCTCCCCCCCTTTGGTGTGTGTGTGCTTGTGTGTGTGTTCTACAAGTGTGAGAGCAAGAATTTTTTTTTTTTTTAGATTTTTATTTATTTATGCATACAGAGCTGGGGTATAGGCCAGAGGTGCAGAGACGGTAAGAGGCTTCACCAGAGACAGAGTGGGGAGCAGAACACTCAGATTGATGAAGTACACTGCCAAGGGGAGCAGCGGGCTGGTCAGGAGAGGTCTGCCTTGCCATGTGGGTCAACTATGGGGCTTGGGCTGGAACTAGTGCTGCATTGGCTTTAGCTTTTTAGTGCTGTGCTTTAACCCACTGTACCACCAGGGAGGGCCTGAGAGCAAATTTTTTAGTATACACTTTGCTGGACTTGCTTGAAATTCAAGATAGTAATGCTTGTTGCGTGTATCATAAAGCAGTTGTTTTTAGTATTTCTATTCAGTTTGCTTTCTGGTAGAATTTTACATTATAATTTCTCCTGCTTCCAATGAGTACAGTTTTTTTTTTTTTTTTTTACTATGCATGAACTCTTATAATCATTTGTTTTAAAGTTAAGACAGTTTGAGTTTCTTTTTTTAAGATTTATTTATTTATTTGTACAGAACTGGGGTACAGGCCAGAGATGCGGAGGGTGAGAGGATTCACCAGAGACAGAGTGGGGACCAGAACAGGCAGATCCACTAAGTACACTGCTGAGGGGAGCAGCGGGCGGGTCAGGAGAGGTCTGCCGTGCCATGTGGATCTCCTCCGGGCAGGCGGGGATCGAACTCTTGCAGAAGTGACTTAAGCTTCTTTGTACTGTGCTTTAGCTCGCTGCGCCACCAGGGAGGGCCCAAGACAGTTTGATTTTTATAAGAAACCTTTATTGAAATAAGTGTTTCTGATACAGTTGATTTTTTTTAATGTACATTTCAAAAGTAATTTCCAAGAGGAAACAAAACCTAATTTTTTGAAGTATTTCTTATTAGGGTTTATGAAATGAATTTTAAATTTATTAGTTTAAAACCCCTTTAGATTATTCTGGAAGATTATTAAGTATTCACAGAATAACAGGTTGCTTTTTATTATTACTTGGTCACTTGGGTTCCCCCACCCACCCCCTTCTTTCAGGTAGAAAAAAATGAAATGAGAGAAGAATAAGGAAATATTCTTACTGTACCAAGATGTTTAGTCGTATTGTTTTTGGTCATGACAGCAGAGTGAATTTCAGATTTGTAGCTCTTTACAAGCTGTAAGTTCATCTTTGTAGACTGCATATTTAGCCTTTCAGCTGCACTGGCACTCAATCTTAGTGAGGAACAGGCTAATAACTACTAAGTAGTATCAGAGTTATTGTTTCTGTAGTTGTCCACCCTGCAGTATTCATATTTTCCAAAGCTAATAACTACTAAGTTAATATCAGAGTTATTTATTTGTTCCCATAGTTGTCTACCCTGCAATATTTCAGAATATTCATCTTTTCCACAGCTGACAGGACTTAGGTCCAGGAAATGTTAGGTGGTAATCTTCTATCCTTTTTGATGGATCAAGTATCTTAAATGTTATTCTCCAATAATCATAATATATTTGTTCATGTAAAAACAGATGTTTATAATTTGTGTGAAACTGCAACTATTTCCAGGAACCTTAGGTTTTGGGATCCAATTTTTTTTTAAAAAATCTTCATTGCCCTCTCGTGTTTCAACTCTGTATTACATCAGCTGGATAAAACCTAGACAGTGACCTCTTAACATTTAGATATTTTTGCACATTAGAGAATGTTATTTTAACTTGTTTGTAGGTAGATTATTTCATTGGATATTAGTTTTCAGATCAGGTCAGTTTCACTGCATGAAGTTAATAGTGGATTTAGACTCACTGTGCCCTCCATCTTTCCGATTTCTCATTTAAAGAATTGATTCATCTCTGCTTGTTCGAAATACAGTGCTTCCTAAGTTGCAAATGATGAATCTTTGCAACTGAACAAATGCTTAATTGAAAACATAATTATTTTTCAAATATCTGTCAGTTTCTACTCATAATGAAATATCTTAAGACCTTATGACTGATGGGGGGAAAACGAGTGAATCATGGTTTTATTAAGTTGATATTTTGAAGCCTGAATTCTAATTTCAGAATCTTTTTGTACTCTTTATTAAAAGTCAGACTCATCCCTGAAATTACTGCAAAGTACATCTCAAAGGTACAGATAATTTCAAATGAAGTGTATCTATTTTGATTTTGTTGTAAAGCATCCCAAAGAGTGTTGATAATTACTGCACTACCATAACAGTAGAATTGACATTAACTATAGGGAAAATCACCCCACCACAGTACTAAGTACATAGTCATCTCCAGTGTCTTCAATATGAGTACGTTCTTAGCACTCAGAGCACAAACAGTGAACATCATTTTTTGGCTAATGTGCATTTCTTCTTAAGCCATAAAACCTCTACTAGTTTCTATTTCATGATCTGAGATATTGGGAAAACTAAAAATCTTCAGCAAAAAGTAAATGTTTTCAGAAATCTTTTTCATTTTGTAAACTTAATACTCAATTCATGAAGTTGAAGGGCTATGTTGGGGTGTTGTGAAAAAACTTGAGTCAGTCGTTACTAGATAAGGATTGAGGACTAAGTTCACCATAAAGTAGTATTATGGTCAGGTAAACCACCTAACCTCTCTTAGCTTTTTTTATTTATGGAATGGGACATGGTTACTGAACCTATTGCCAGAATACTTTTTTTGATAAATTAGTGAACAATTCATGGAGAACCCCTTAGGTTCTGAGGACTACCAAATGAGAAAGCACATAGGAAAGCATCAAATATTGTACAGCTGTAGTGTTATTGCCATGATTAATATGAGTGCTTTGAGGACAGGGACCATGTCTTACTGTTTTTCATTTCCTGAGCATCTAGAACATAGTAGTCCCTCAATAAATCTCATGTGAATGACCGAAGTCAGGGAGATGGAGGCAGGGAATGCTTGCACAAAAGGGACACACTGAAGTAGAACAGGAAATCTTATTTCACATTCCATATATTGTCAACAAATGCTTGCTCGTCTTCATTAATAGGTATAAATCATATGTTCATTTCTCATTCTAATATAATTCTACTGGGCCTTTGAATATTTCAGCCTCTCCATGCTGGGCTCTGACCCTACTTTTTCTGCTGCTTCCCCTTATCTAGAATCAGAAGAGGGGATCATTTAGTCCTTCACTTCATGGGGATCCTCCGGAGGGAGTAATACAGCCACCAAGAAAGATGCTGCTGGCGGACACAGTGACTGACAGGCTGCCCTGGCTCAGTTATCACAGTGCTGATGCTGTCCATTCTAAAGGTACAGTACTGTGATAACTGAAGGATGGCAGCCATCTTACCTTCCATCAAAGGAGTTCCCACGTGCCCTGGAAGGAAGATAGAAGATGAAAAAGGCCTGGGAAACAGGTGGAGGGGACATAGAAGCCTTACACTATCCTTGTATCATACCTCTCTTAATATGGAAGGAATGTCACACCATGTGTTTTTTTCTTATTTTGTAAAATGGCATAAAGAGGAGTTGGGTGGTCTTTTGCATAGCAGCAGAAAGACTGTTGTACTAAGCAGGCATAATGTTTGGGACTTTTAAGGGACCAATATTAGGTAAGTATTAAGTGTGGGTTGGTTACTTCTGGAGCCATTATTCAGAGAAATTTCTACCATTTTAAAAAAGGTAAATGTGAAAGGTAACCTGATTGGAATAGCTTGACACTTGATATTCAAAATTATAATGACTTTCAAAATAAAATTGATAAAATGATATTCAAAATTAAAATGACCATAAACAGGGAGAAAAATCCCACATGTTGAGTACTGTTTATAATGTTGTATGAATAAAATTACTTTGTATTTAAGGAATGGATGGGGACATACAGTATTTCAGAAATAAAAAAATTTTAGAACCTAGTCTAATTTAAAATATATTCGATGAATGCCATGTAATTGCTGCTACTGTCACTGTATATGAAAATAAATTTTACATTGTACATGTAAATAATTTGTTTCTACCAAGCAGTTAAGGACTTCTGCAGTGACATCTAGAACAAATCAGTGATATGAAGCTTATAAAGAACCAAGCTAACATCAGGTTTGCATAAAAGACTAAGAAGTTAAACCATGCTCACATCTTCAGCTGCTTCCTACTCTAGAGATACTGTTGGGGGCAAGAGGGCTATCAAAAAGCCCAGGATGTTCTACGTCCCTCCTCTCTCAAGACTCCTAAGGAAGCTGTATAGGTGGAGAACAGCAGGTAGGAATAAAAGTACATGACCTTATGTCATGTACACTACAAAGCTCAGGTAATTGCATGTAATTTAGGCCCCATGCCTAAACAGGGGCTCTTGCCTCTTCTCAGGCTAATTTCTGTATCTGGGACCCTAGACACTGCACACAGCCAATTGGTATAGGAGCTCAAAGCAGTAATCCATATAGCTAAAAAGAGAACAGAGAACCTACTGAAGTTAAGACCTTTCTATTATAGGGCAAGAAGAGCCAGAGAAGGGGAAGCCATATGTGTGACCTCTGAACATACAGAAGCCTTAACCAATCATCCACACGGCCCAGTGTCTTAGAGTTGGGCCAATTTTTTTTTTTAATATTTATTTATTTATTTCATAGAAGTGAGGTGTAGGCCAGAGGTGTGAAGGGTGAGAGGAGTCACCAGAAACAGAGTAGGGAGTAGAACAGGAAGATTTACTGAAATACACTGCTGAGGGGAGCAGCGGGCAAGACAGAAGAGTTCTGTCATGTGGGTCAGTTCCCTGGCTGGGGATTAAACTCAGGCAATAGTGGTGATAGCACTGAGATTTAAGCACTGAGATTTAACCCCTAAGCCACCAGGGAGTCTCCAGACTGGGCCAGTTGTATCAAAAGGTTCTTTACTGGCACATAATGAGAAAGAAAGGAAGATGAAAGTTTGAGTTTCACCTTTCATCTTGCCAGTCCTCAGACATTTCCTGGTCACAGTTTTCCTTTGTTGATTAACACCACAACTCTCTTTAATCTCTCTCCTCTCTCCTGCACCCAAGGGAAACCATGCCTGGGAGTAACCTCTGGGACCAAATCTGGGCCCTGAAGTGTTTTCCTCATAGCATTGACTACATTGTGGCCCAGTACCTTCACATGACCTCGTATATTAAGAATTTTTCTAAACTTCAGCCTCTGGGCTATGTTTCTGATTAATTATAGGGAAGCTTGGCTCTGCCCTATTATGTATTTTGCTACCAGCCCTGAAATTCCTTGGAATTTTCTGTTCCCTTAAACAGAAAAGGAATTTCTGACAGAAATGCTGGAAGAGCTTCTAAGAAAGGAAAGTACTGGGATTGGTGAATTCCTAAGTAATTTGAATCACTCCAGTTTCAATGTTATAACAGGTGGAAAAAAGTGCTTCAGGGAGTGATAGATTGTGCAGTTGCTGGCTGTGGTGAGGGTTTCAGCACCTTCCCTGATCTTCTTGTTTTCCCATTACTAGTTTTATAAAAACTCGGGTTTTATACTTACCCGACTTTGACCTCAGTCAGTCCTATGGGATGTGGCAAATCTGAGGGTTGGTTGTACAGAGCTACCACTGCACTTCTACATGCAGAATCTTACTAAGTCTTGTCTTCTGTCAATAGGAAACCCTGAAGCTGAGACTGTGGCAAGAGCTCTAGAAGGCTTGCCTCAGCCTGGAGATCCTTGGCATCTTTGAGATAGTTCATAGATGTAAGATGTTCCAACAGGTTAAGTGAAAAGTGATGCAAGAGAAAGCTGACAGGTTTTTTCCACTGCTTTGATTAAAATGCAACATGTTTGGTTGATGAATTCATTTTAGTCTGCAGCTGAGGTTTGTGAGAATGGGAAGAATGGAATTAAGCATAGAAATACTATGTGACCCAGCAATTCCACTTTTGGTTAATCAAGTGAATGAAAGCATTCAAACACTTATACAGCCATGTTCACAGTGACGATCAATAAAGGAAAAGCAACCCAAGTGCCCATTGGTAGATGATGGATACACAAAATGCATATGTAAACAGCAGAATATTACTCAGCCTTAAAAAGGCAAAGCTTCTGACACCTGCTACAATATGGATAAATCTTCCCGATATGCTAAGTAAAATAAATCATACCCCCCCACACACACAAATACTGTGGGATTCCACTCATACCAGGATCCTAGGGAAGTGAAATTCATGAACCAGAAAGTAGAGTGGAGTTTGCCCAGGGCAAGATGAGGGGCAGCGGAAGTTCATGTTTAGTGGGTATACACTTGATTGGAGAAGATGAAAACATTCTGGAGAGGTGATGATGGCTCTCCAAAAGTGGGAATGTACTTAATGCCACCAAACTACTTTAAAAATGGTTTAAATGTCTATTTTACCACCATCTCCAAAACATTTTAAGGTAATTGTACTCATGTAGCTGACAACAGGGTTTTGTTGACGGTTCTCTCCTTTGGGCCGTCTTTAGTGTGAAGATGCCTGAGGTTTCAAGTAAGTAATTAAAGATAATCTACCTGTTTCGATGCATTTAAAGTGCTCTCAGTTGTGAAGCTTTAGAAATATTTCCAGGGTTTTCTAATACTGCTTAGACTCAGTGTATGTTAATAGTATTTAATTTTTACCACCATACACACTATCTTCCTCCCCCCAGCCTGGACTTTTGACTGTGCAGCTGTAATAACCTTTTTAAGTGAAAAGTTGATGGTAGCGTCACTGATTTTAAACCCGTCTGGTGACTTCTTTTACTCTAGACATTAAGACTGCTGTCCTTCATATGTGTTCTCCAAGGTCCAAGCGACTTAGTTACCACCTACCTCCCAAGTTCCATCTTTCCATCCCAGTTGATCAGTCCATGCTTTGTCCAGGGAAGCAATCCACCCGCTCCCTCAGCTGCATTTTCTCCTGCCTGAGACACAGTTACCAATCACTTCACCTAGTTATATCTTCTCCTGTGGACTCTAGTTAATTCTTAGAGATCTTTCCCTGACACCCACCACTGCACGCTTTTCTGCAGAATACTTGTCACAGCTGAGCTATGTAGATGTATGAGAGTATGTGTGTGTGTTTAATGACTTGTTAGATTGTGAGCTCCCTGAGAGCAGGCACAAATACTTTCCACTGTTGGTTTACAGTTCCTGCATGTAATTCACAGTAGAACTCTAATATATGAGATGCTATGTGGAGTCTGTTTTCTAAGAATGGTTGAGAAGAGCTGGTGGTTAAAACCAAGGTGTTTAAAATCCCTACCTTTCTGTAGCCAACTCTGTGGCCAGCACTTTGATGCTGAGTTTTTTCAAAAAGTTATTTTAGCAGAGCCATAAATTGACCTCACCCTTTACACTTTTGGGGAAGCCTTACTCAGAGAAAGGAAACATTCAACTTGGAGATCATCTTTTGTCTGAAAGTTGGTGAGCCCTATTCCAGAAAGAGCTCCCATCCCTAGTCTCTGCAAAACTAAGGGAGGAAAGAAATGCTGTAGTTGGGACAGTGGTGTGAGGTTTCCTGGATACTGTGCTTTCAAGAGAATCCCTAGACAGTGGCTTCAGATTTAATGTATCCTAGGTAGTGCCTGCCAGAACATCCCCCAAATACCTTGGATGGACTTGGCTGCACCTCTCAACAGTAATGGATGTGCCCCAGGCGTGCACTAGCAGGTGGGTGATACCAAGGTTGTCAATGACATACCTCTGGCCAGTGAGAAAACTCATCCTAACCTAGGTGTGTGGTTCATAGGGACACCCTCTTTTGAATTTTGTGGTGAAGTAAGCCAGCATTACCATGAAGACAGAACTTTTCTGGAGAGGTCATCTAAAATGCCCTGTACATGGCTATAAAAGGAAACAACCAAGAAAGTAATCTCCCAGAGAAGGAGAAAAAGGAATGAGAAAGAGACCACCTCATTCTTCCACCCCTGGATCCTCCAGCCTCACCTCAAGCTAGAGAAAAGTGCAGGGATTCGTATTGAATACCTGCACTCTGCAGAGAGATTGTAGGTTCAGTTCCGGGTCACTGTGATGTAGCAAATACTTAGGTAAAGCAAGTCACATAAATATTTTGGGGTTCCAAGTGCATACAAAAATTACATATACACCATACGGTAGTCTGCTAAGTGCAATAAATAGTATTATGTCCTTAAAAAGTGCACACCATTAAAAGTACTTTATTGTGGCCCTCCCTGGTAGCGCAGCGGGTTAATGCACAGCACTGAGAAGCTAAAGCCACTTCTGCATAAGTTCGATTCCTGCCTGCCCCGGAGGTGACCACAGGGCGTGGCAGACCTCT